GGTGATTACTATAATTTGGAACTCGCCTCTCCAAGCTGCACGACGATCATAAGTCTATATAAATTATACCTACTAGAATCGTGATAGATAGATTTTTCATCTAAATACATAATATATACTGATACTATACAGAGACAGAGATTGTTTGTTTGTTTGTTTGTTTGTTTGTTTGTTTGAAAGCGCTAATCTCAGGAACTACTAATCCGATTTGAAAAATTCTTTTTGCATTAGATAACCCGTTTATTGAGGAAGGCTATAAATTATCTATCATCATGCTACTACCCAAGGCAGCGGAGCAGTAATCATAAATTTCAACAAATCGGGCAGACTACCATACATAATTGTAAAACTGTTTTTAATGAAACAAATTTAACTCGGGTGAAACCGCGGAGCACAGCTAGTAATACATATGATGTCGATGTTTTACAAGGTTGTATTATTTTAATAACAACTTGTTAGTTCCATAATAAAGATTACATTTTATTTTTTATAACATTTTTTTGCTTTAAATTATGCTCGCAATTTTATGTGGTTTTTTGACAGAATAAACAGCTTTCATGCACAATGACAATATTCCTTATAAAACTAAAATACAACCTAAAGTGTGCAAAGTAAAGATCAAAATTGATCACCTCAAAAAATTTACTAGAAACCCATAACAGTGAGTGAGTGAATTATCAAACAATCACCCATTGAGTAAGAAGAGTTTGCACAACTGTGATACGGTTGAGCTTCATTGCGTACGCTTGAGGTAATATTGTAAAACTAGCTATTGCGTGCAGCTTTTTCCTGCGTTTTTATTTATATATAGTATTTAACTAATAAATTCTCAAAGGTCCTCAAGTTCGAATTTCGGCTATGGCAGCCAATTTCACGTACTGCACAAGTGTGTAAGTAGACACAAGAGCATCCACATATCCCTTTAACTCTCATTGTCCTGTGGGATAACGATTCGGAGTAAGGGATGAGAGATAGAGCGCCAGGATCGACGAAATTACTAATTTGTCACTAGTAATATGACGGTTAGTAAAAGTATGTTAGCGTATCCTTTTCTCACGTCGCAATATAGCTAATCGATACTCCATCGATAGACCGATCGATGTGATTTCGCATAGAGATTACACATAGAAAGTGACAAATTATTAAATTAAAATATATTGTCAAAAAACTGTTTTTGGGCGCCATTTTTTATATATCAGCGCAAGCGACAAAGATACGGTGGCAAAGTTAAAATTCGGAAAGACCACGTCGAAATCTATACAATCACAAATTATCAAAACTTCCGAAAAACTTTATAAATAAAACTACCAGATAATTGGACTATATATGTGTAGTGTCTCAACTATCTGGTATCCATAATACAAGCCTCGTAGCTTACCATCGAACTAGATGGTGTTGTTAATGTACCCAACATATTTTCCTATATATTTATTTAAAGGTTCTTGCTAAGCAATAAGTATGTATTATAATATAATAATTTAAGTCAAAACCACAATATCATTGTTACAAAAAATTACCTTGAATATACTGATGTAATAAAAAATTGACATTATTTATAAAAACCTTCCGAAAGATTCTGTAAATGTTAAAAACATTATCATAATGTATAAAAACATAGTTTAGAAGAAATAATTGCTAAAGTGCGAGTAATTTATGTTTACTTTACAACCAGCAAAATCTATATAATACTAGCAGGTGTAGGTTTGGCCCCAATATCAACGCAGTGGCTATAAAAATATTTACATTACATGGCTCATGAAAAGTTTGTATGATTAAAGTACATTGAACTTTGAGAATTATACGGGATTTTCATTCAATAAAGATCGTATTATTTAGATTCTGATGTAAAGAGGTTTTCTTAATTTTTTAAAGTATGTATTTATAAAATACTACTGGTTGCCGACTGGTCGAAATTAAACTATATATACGAATTATTGAAAATTTGAGGAAACATATATGAATATAACCATATTCTTTTATACCAATATAAAAAAGATTATATACCAATATAAAAAAAGTTTTTTGTTTGTTTTAAGTGTTATCACTTAAGCTCGTCAAAAGCTACTAAAAAAAAACAGTTGACAGAGAAAAAGGTACTGAACTGTTTTGTCTTTACCTATTTTTATAAAACATATTATGTTACTAGCATTGCCCGCGGCTCCGCCCACGTTCTGATGACCAAAAACCAAATTCTTAGGTTTTACATATTAGTATAGGTACTCTTACAATGCAGTTTTTGTATTTTTTCTCAGAAATGAGATATTTTGCCGCGGTAAAAAGTATCCTATATGTTGACCCGGATAACCGGCTATTACCAACCATACCAAATTTCATCAAAATCCCTTAAGTGGTTTTTCCGTGATGCGGTAACAGACAGACAGACAGACAAAAAATCTAAAAACTATTGATTAGGCCACTGTATCGGTAATAATGTATATTTTAATAAGATTTTCTAAAAAATATTTAATCACAGATTGGGCTTAGTTATAATTTTAATATATGTATAGATTAATGCAATGTAGAAAAGTTGTGTATCCTGTAGTCTAATACTTTTATCGTTTACTTTATTTTTTTAACTATATATATATTTTACGTACTGTTTTAGTTCTTGTAATATTGTATTTTAATGCATCTGCCTAATAATAAAAGTCCTTGTAAAGTATTCTATTCGAGTCTCATAACTTAAGTTTTAACGGAAAATGATCTAAGTTCAGATTGAACATAGTTATTGCGTTGAGTTATTCTAAAATGTTGCTTAATTTATACTTCGTCTCTAACTTATTACTTTTAGATCACTGTGAAAGGTAAAATCAAATAAAAAATGGAATAGATAGACTATATATTATATGATATAAAGCCTATAGCCTTCCTCAATAATCGGACTATTTAATGGAAAAAGAATTTTTCAATCGGATTAGTAGTTCCTGAGATTAGCGAGTTCAAACAAACAAACTGTGCCTCTTCATAGTGTTAAGTATAGACATGTTTGAACAACCGTAAAATTGTCTAAAAACAGTTAATGTCATAGACATGCTTAAAGAACATAATTTATACTCGACAATTGATGGATCACGATTTCCTGTTATCAATTTTTTTCACATCAATAGATAGTGTTTGGCTTTCTCTTTTATTTGGTTATTTTATGACAACGTACAATGGAAGTTTTTATATATAGACTACGTTTCGTCCCTATTTACGTTTTAAACGTTTAGTATAGATTTCTCAGAAATGAGATATTTTCCCGCATTAAAAAGTATCCTATATGTTAACCTGGATATCCAGCCATCATCAAACCAAATTTAATTAAAATCTGTCCAGTGTTTTCTCGTGAGGCGGTAACAGACATACAGACAAAAATTCTAAAAACTATACATTCAGCCTTTGTATCTATAATAATGACTATTTCGATAAGATTTTCCAAAAAGTATTTAATGTACAGATTCGACTCAGAATTTTATTATATGTATAGATGATCTTTATACTTTTTTACGGAGTGATTTAGTATTAGTAGTAAAGATGTGTTCGAGGAATTTTTCGATAGACCTCTCATAGAAACCTAATCGAAACTTTGGATTTTTTGAAACATTACATACAGATAAATGGAGATTATAGTTTAAATATTATAGGAACCTAAATAATTCCTAAATTATCCTACCTTTGCCCGCCAACTCCTATTGGGTCTGGATGGTGGACTGTAGCTTCTCTTCGCGTTTTGAACGACGGCGGGTACCCAGCAGTGCTATATTTTTTTATTTCATTTGTAAAATGTTACTGAAAAATAATTTGAAATAGATATTTTAAAGTTATCTGTGGCATTTTTATATAGATTTACAAATATAAATAAATACATACCTAAGCGTTCAATATATCTGCAATCTGAGACTAAACTTTTGCAAGCAAATAACGAGCCACTTTAGTGTGTTAATTGTTAACGAGGTTGTGTCTAAGGTGAATTGAAATGGGTGTTTTTCAATCTCGTTGTACATTCTGGACAGGAATTGATTAGGTTTTATTACCAACGTATTTGTTAATGCTACATGAATATGTTCTATATTACACTAATATTATAAACTAGCGTCTCATCCTCGCTTCGCTCGGGTTCGTCCCTAGGTTGCTTCCCCATACACACTATCACCCCCTTAAGGGTTGATTTCCGGAATAAAAACTATCCTATGTCCTTCCGACGCATACGCGAGGGGGAAGGGGGGGGGGTGAGACTTTCTTTTGTAACATGTATAGAAGATATAGGTAGATAGATGATCCGAAAAGATAGTTTTATTTAATAATGTCAAACATTCGCGTAAATCTAAGAAAGTATTATTAGATAGATCTATTTTGCCTGCGTGTATATTTCATTTTCAATTATTAAAGCATTTATAGTAAATATTTATGAGTTTATTTATTAAATTATCAATTGAATATCTGATATCATATAAATATTTATTGAAATTACTCGTAGAATCAGCATGAATATGAAAATTGAAAAGTGATATATTGCAAATATATAATGTAGGAAATTTAAATTTAAATATATGTATAAGAAATGGTTGGAATTGGTTGTGAAATATTTACATATAAGTATTATTGTTAAATTTCTTGGAAAATGAATATGTTATTTATCTTCCTATATATATTCGCATGGAACAGTATATATCCTATCAAACTTTTATAATACTTAGAACATGGGTTAGTTAATTTAAACCATGTTCTACTTATTGTAAACTCTTAACTTTTAGTGAAACATTGCAATTAAAAAGTTAATTATAGTTAACTCTCAGTTAACTCATCAGTAATTCAAAGCACTGCCAAGTGCCGAAATAGTCGGTCAGTGAAACGATAAAAAGAATTGTTATCTTTTGTCTCTATAATTTACTCATGAGATATTTACTAATTTTATCTTCTTTTGTTACAGATGCAGTATCGCAGCACTCCGCGATATACAAGACTGATTTTAAATAGCATTCCTATATAATGTTATAAGATTATTTAGTTAGACCAAAATGTTTAAGCTACTCGGAGGTCTGAGCGTGTACTTCAAGTACCAACCAATAAAGACAGACAATGCAGTGTTTAGATTGCACAATATATTCACAACGGTCCTTCTGTTGACCTGTTCTGTGATCATCACTGCTACCCAATATGTAGGGGAGCCGATAAAATGTATTGTAGGCAATGGCCTCCCAGCCCACGTCGTGAACACTTTTTGCTGGATCACATCCACGTTCACTATGCCGGATGCTTTTCTTAGAGAGGTAAGTTCATTTTATGCTTAAATTAAGTACATTGTTTATTTATAGCAGATGGAAGTATCTATCTTAAGAATATATGGTTAAAGAAAACTCAAGATTTTACAATCTGACTTTCAAATTATTATACAAAAAAAATTACAAGACAAAGTAGTCGTAAAAGTAACCATTTCTAATACAAAAAATATTTTCGTGGTTTTCAAGTAATAATAATGAACTATTGGCAAGTATCGTAATTATCTTTTAGTAAAGCATAGTAGGGAAATACTTTATATTTCCCTCGTCTTATGCTCCAATATATTTTTTAATTCTTCAGTTACAGCTTTATTACGTTTATACTTTCTAGAAATTTAATTAATATTGTTCCATGAAGTTACATACTCTTATATTGCAGTTCTTGTATTTTTTCTCAAAAATGAGATATTCTCCCACGGTAAAAAGTATCCTATATGTTGATCCAGATAACCAGCTATCACCATAACAAATTTCATCAAAATCCCATCACTGGTTTTTCCGTGATGCGGTAACAGACAGACGGACAGACAGACAAAAATTCTAAAAACTATAGATTTGGCCTCTGTGTCGATAATAATGTTTATTTCAAAAAGATTTAAAAAAAAATATTTATTGTACAGATTCGGCTTAGTTACAATTTCATTATATGTATAGATAAGAAAATTTTGTATTTAAGGTGTGGTGTGGTAATAGTAGGAATGCCACGAACCTTTTATCTGATGGCTTCCTCTATAACAACGTGAAACAATTAATTCTCATTGTTCTTTATTGACCTAATTTAGCTCCATACTTTGACCAATTTCTTTTTATTCATCTAAATGACCATGCACCAATATTCACTTACGTATTTTTTGTAGACAATGTGGGCGCGTCCTAAATAAGTCGCTAAAAGATATCCAATGTTTGTTTTTAATTAGATACATTTACACGAGGTCGACGTTTACTTGATAGATTAGTACGCTGGTTAAATCTCAGCGATAACAGCAAGTTGGAGAATAGGAAACTGTAAATTACTTGAATAAAATTTCTCTTTCACAATTTTCCTTTGATCGTAACGGGTCGGCATAGAAACGAATCTCTTAATGCTATGAAGATCCTAGCAAGTTGCTTATGTTTTTTTTTTACTATTAGTGATGTTTTAATGTGGGTACGTAGTCGCATTTAATGATGTCAGTTGATCTTTAAATACTTAAATTAGTATTAAAACGTAAAGTTAAAATAAATTGATGATGACTTTTATAAGTGACAATCAAGCGCAATAATCCATACTTAATATTATAAATGTGAAAGTTTGTTTGTTTGTTTGTCCTACTTTCACGTCGAAACAGAGTGACGAATTGGCGTAATTTTTTGTGTGGAGATTATCTCATTCCTACGGGAAACCACGTGATAATACATTCTAAAAAAATATTTATGATCAGAATTACTTGAAACTTGACATTAATACTCTTCAATACAATTAAATAAATATGTGTTTCAGCATTTTTTGAAATTCATCCCATAAGGGGGTAAAATAGGGGATGAAAGTTTGTATGGAACCTACTTTTTTAGAGTTTTTTTTGTAGTTTTAGCGCGAGCGAAGCCGCGGGTTCTGCTAATATTTCTATAAAGCAGAGGAATCAAATGATACAGGGAAAGGGTAATAATATAATAACATAAGAAATTCGGAAAGAGATTGGTGTTATAAACATAGAAACAGACCGCCCATTTTGTTTGAAGACTCTGCCCATTTTCAACTTAACTAAGTTAAATAAATGTTTCAAACAATCTCATTGTTTGTATTGACTTGGGTAGTAAACGTTAAGAGTCAATTATTTTTTGAAGTCTGGAAAGAGAACATAATGACTATTCGAGAGCAAGACAATTGCACACGTCCGTAATTTCAATCCGACATTAACTTGATTGGATCAGTCTGCAACATGGCATAATGGCCGAGGGCGACTAGGTCGTCAAATGCTACGTTTGATTTGCATCGTGTGGGCTGATTAAAAGGAACAGATTGACTGATTTATCGTAAAAGTTTATTGGGTGTTTGGATTGTAGCTTTTGTATCGAGTATAAAAACTACTAATCTTTTGTTAACCGACTACAAAAAAGCGTAGATCCTTAATTTGATTGTGTTATTTTTAAACTTTAAAAGTTTTGATATACTCGTATGTGAATGATATTTGGAAATGGCAAGTTCGATACGATTTCTGCTTGACCTTACTTATTTTTTTTCCTTTTAATAGATATTTATAGTATATTTTATATGTTAGAATATTTTCAATTTACTCACGATTTTTTTAATTTTATAAGTAATCGTTATCTTTTGCCTAGTATTTTTACAAAGGTCGTTACTAACGCATCTGTCTGTACTTTTGCGTCGCCTGCATTGGCGTTTAGCCAGAGCTTTGCTATTTTAGCCAAACTTACAGTTCCTTTGTCGATCCTGTTTACTACGTCATGTTTGTGAATTTTATTTGCTTATCTTTATAAATAACCTATCTGCCAAAGTTATATATATATATATTTATATTTAAAACTTAATTTTCAAAATACCTTCACTTTCAAACAATGCTCAATTAACAATACGCTTTATGTGGTTTAAGCTGTAATATTTAAAAAAAAACTATAATAAATTTCCCATTAACACGTGACATATAATATATAAAATTAGCATCGTATTGTTTGAATTTAATTATTCACTAATGGAATGACATCATGACTACCTCTATTTATAAATAAGTCTGTTCAATGAAATACATATGCCAGAAAATATCTGATTATGGGCTTATTGGTGTCTTCTTATTCTCCGAGGCACTATCAATAGTTTAACAAAGTTTCTTCGGGGTATTAGACTTGTAAGGAGAAGTACCCACCTCCAAACCTATCTAAGGATGAGTTTCACAAGTGTATACTAATACTTGGTGTGTTCATATTTGTCGAACAGCTTTTTGTTTTGTTTCAACGCGTGTGAAACTACTAGATGAAAAAACCCTAGATCTCAAAGTTGCAGCATCAAACGAAAACTGTTTAGAGTGAGGCAATTATTCATAAATAAACTATGCGAGCTATGCTATGGAGCCGTGGGTAAAAGCTAGTTTTTAATAAAGCTCTATAATGTCAAATACTTCGATGGTTTTTGGCATATAAAGAGTCGTATTACGTTGTTACGTAATTCTATTTAATTCACGAATTTGAGCTTCTTTAAAGTATTGGTCCTGGTTATTCAAACTTCATTGTGTGAGGTCAAAGCAATCGGCCTTTACATATAAATCCCAGCAAAGTCAAACTAGGTGCTGCCAATTGAGTAACTGCCCACATCCTCGCTTATCAAGTTATTATAAAAATTGTATAAAACATATAATTTTAATAATAATATGTATGTTTTATAAAATTTTAATAATAATAACTATTTGATTTATAAAATACTAATTGATTTATACATATTAATATGTATGTATATATGTATAATGTACTGTTTTGTTTCAATGGTTAAACGGCTGAATCGATTTTGATAGAAGGAAATAAGCAAGAAAAATCAATAAGTCAATCAAGTCGCTCAGGAGGGAAGAATTACGAACACACGCACATCGGAATTTTATATGTAGATAAGATAGTTGCCGGTTGAAGTGAACGCGTCTGAAAGACCTTTTGTTCACTTTATCATTCAATACTGGCCGTAAATACCTTTATATTCAGATAAACGTATAAAACGGGCCTTATGAAATAATTTGCATTATATTAAACAACATGTATTGGAGTCCCTGGCCTGGAGTCAAGTGTTATCTGGTTATACCAATTTATCATATATGTCACTAGTTCGATTGGCAAGTGCGATTAGCTTCTGAGACACCTCCCAAAAATTCTTTAAACTACAAAAATTAATTGATTAATAAATATTAGTTTCTCTTACATCGTAGGTATATAGATATATAGATGAATCGTGCAATTATTTTTTGTTCATTTTGCACTGTACTGTATTTAGTGGGCTAAATCGTAAATGGGTTGGGTAACATTTTTTTATGTAAAACATTAAGGAATTAAGGATAATCGCTGTTTATAATGGTCCATAAATTTTGTATACTTTCTTATAAAGGTTATATGCCCTAGGAATATCGAGTCGTGATTCCATTTTGATTTATAACGAATTGAATCCAGTTCAGTTCCAGATATCAACCGAAACAAAAAGATAGTCTGAATTCTTCATGCTGTGACGAATGTTCATATTTTTATGAGCTTTACTAGAAAATAACTATGAAATTAAATCTTGGAAATTGATTTGAACTTTATTAATATATTTTTTATTTTTATACTTTTGCGATTGTAGAAAGCCACCTTGTCTAAGCTCCACGGATAGATTGATTTCAAAGGCTTTATAATGTTTGTTGATTAATTATTTATAACAGCAAAATCATTCAAAATTATGGACAGTAACAGCTGCGAGATATGAAATATTTCGATGCAGATATCTATCTGCTTCAACGTGTAAGCTACTTCACGTTTAATCCTACATTGTGATTAAATTGTACATCCTGTTATCATCTGTGCATAGGAAATTACAATGCTTGCACGTTTAGCACGTAACTCGTCGATAAAATGGCCGTCTCTGGCGTGTATGTGTTCTTCTGATAATTTATAAATTCTTTAGAATATTACATATTGTTTTAGTTCAAGTTGCAAAGATTACTCAATACGGGTGGTTTGTGCGTGTGTTACGCGGTATGTTTCTAATAATTGTAGGCCGATTGTTATGACTTTTTGAAAATAGATTGCACCTTAAGGGTGGTCCGTATTTTCAATATAAAGTCCACCTTTGAGGATGGGATAGATACTAGCAGTTTTAAAGTGATTTTGAAGTCGACTTTTTTTAGTTACAACGTAATTATTATTCATGTGCAGCGATCAAAAAAGTACTAGATACACATTAAGCGATAAAAAGTGTCCTCACCGTATGAGCGTTCATTTGAACATTTGAGCGCGCTTTTTTTGTGGAAACAACTTTAAGAATTGCACTTAAGATTTAATTAACATTGTTGTATATTTATTTCAACTAGATGATAATTATCTTAACACAATTGGAGACAGTTTTAAGATAACTTTTCCATGGGATTGTGTATCTAGTACTTTTTTGATCGATGTTCATGTGCCACTATTTGACGCAGCATTCAAACAACGGATATTTGTGATGTTTTGTATAAATATATAGTAGTGTGTAGACTAATAGCGCTCAAGTAATATTCAATTTATCTAGAAATAGTTTCAACTAAAACAATTAGATCCCGTGGAATATTTGCCTGTTGAAAAAATATAATCTATAGACGAGCCTACGTAAAGCCGAAGTGGGCCACTAGTGAGGAATAATGATTAGGTACTTCCTGAGCGATTTTCTATCACGATGGCTGACTGACCAAAAAAGCTATATATTATTGTTTCAACAATTTGCTTTTTTGCAAACACTCGTATGTAGATAATTACGAATTGAATCACTAAAAATATATGTTTGTGTCTACTTTTGACTATGGATCGATATGAACAATTTTTAATGTCTTATATTTCTATGCTATCTGCATTGTACATTTTTTATAATAATTATTCGACTTTTTATAATAAACACATTCGTTATAAATTATAAGGTCAGGCATATAATAGGTGCTGATAGCCTCGTTTATAATCGACTAGCAGAACCCGCGGCTTCGCTCGCGCTTAAATACAGAAAAATATCTAAGTAGGTAGTTTCATACAAACTTTCATCCCCTATTTTACCCCTTATAGGATGAATTTCGAAAAATACTACAACACGTATTTGTTTAATTTTATTGAAAAGCATTAATACCAAGTTTCAAGTAATTCTGATCATAAATATATTTTTGGATTGTATCATAACGTGTTTTCCCGTGGGAATTAGAAATCTCCCACGGTAAAAAGTAGCCTATGTCACTCTCCAGCCCTCCAACCATCTCCACACAAGAAATCACGCCAATCCGTCACTCCGTTTTGACGTGAAAGACGGACAAACAAACAAACAAACACATTTATAATATTAAGTATGGAAGTATGGATTTATAAATAGAACATGTGATAATTGTAATTTCCACATATTATTTATCTTATTCTTATTCTATTCACGAAGAAATATCTTAAACTACTCAATCGAGACTGTGTGATTCACGTGATGACGTCATATTTGCTACACGCAAGGCCCGTAGTAAAATGTGTAACGGTGCTAGGAAAATTGACCCATTGATCTACTGCCAACTTTGAATTGACAATGTTTTATGTAAATATGTACGTAAATTAGCACTCCTTCAAGTTAAATTATCGCCTTTCTGTCTGTATATTCGAAAGCGAACTGGTAAATAAGGATTAATGTGGGTAGAATTCTTTAGCTGTTTTTTTTTAGAAAAAAATTGACAACGTCAAAACAAAATTTATGGTGTAATCAAAAATTATGTTAAAATATATATCCGAAAATAATATTAAAAATTTAAGTAATAGTATAAAAGACAACAAAATTGAAAGTGCATAATAATTACAAGACTTCCGCGACACCATTCAGACAAAGAGAGATACTAGCATTCCCAAGGAGGGTTGACGTCAGGCAGGCGGCCGGTCGTAAAACTTTTGCCAAATCCTATCAGCAGTACAGAAGCTGTGCTGCGCCAACCCCAAGTGATTGGGAAATGGGCAGGTAGAAGAAGAATATCTTTAGCTGTTTTTGTTTTTAATTATTACTTTTTTTATTAAATAGGCGTATGTGGGATGTTCATAAAAAGGCACCGAATTTTTTATTTTAGTAGGACGGCAGGGGAGGGGGGGGGGAGGGGGATGGGGGAGAGGTGAGGTGTGTAGCTAAGATGTACGGAACGCGTGCGAATTTAGGTATTTCCCTCGTATTATTAAAACAAATACACATTTTGAAAATTTTAAGTGCATACGTTATAGAAAACGTATAGTTTTGTTATAATTAAAAACCTGATGAACTTCCTTGAATTATTTACGCCGCACTAAGTGTTTATTTTGTTTTTTAGAGATCGTTTTGGATTCTTTTTTCTATCGAGGAAACTACAAGTAATCGTGTTTCTAAAGTATACGATTTATGGAATAATCTTTAAATATCCCACATATTAATTGCATAATTAAAGTTTTAGTAATAAACAATACAGCAAGGGATCAAACGAACGCAATTATTTCGTAATTCCATCGGTGCCCCCTATAGGTTAACGCAAATAAAATTGCTTTAGTACCAGTTCTTTTTTGTCTAAATTTATAGTCAATTTGAATTTTTATACGTAGGTAATGATTATAGAGCTTAAGTTTGTGCCAGAAAAAATTACATTATATTTATTTTTGCAGGCAGGCAGGGAAGTTGCGCATCCTGGTGTTATGAACGAGTATGACAGTTCGTCACCGAAGAAATACTACACGTACTATCAGTGGGTGTGCTTCATGCTGTTCTTACAGGTACTAATAATTATATAAAATATTTGTTTTTATTAGCAGCTTTTTAACCATTCATGTTAAGTTATTAGTTTAAACTCTTCCGTTTGTCTGTCTGTGGCATCATATATTCCAAATGGATAACCCGATTTTGATTTAGTTTTATAGGAATGGACTCGGGAATAGTGAGATGAGAAACACCTTATTTTATCATTTTATAAAACTTACTTCATTTAAAAATGGATATTAAGCAACAATCAACTTATAATGTTTTTAATAAAGAAATTCGATCGGCTATATTTCATCTTTGATGACGAAAACCACATGCGTTCAGATCGTATATCGTCTTAACTTCCTTACTTGTGTAATCATCCCAAGTGTATAGAAAGTACACTCCTGAGTCGTAATAAATGTACTTAAAGTATTAAAATAATTTCATTCTACTATATTTTACATAATAATATAAATATAATATAGGTCACGGGAGAGACTAAGCTTTTAGACGACTCAAAAGTGTAACAGACGCTGAGAATCTGAAAAGAAAGTTAGAATGTCGAATATTCGCGATTAAATGAAAGAAAGTATTATGTAATTTAATTAAATAAAATGTTTTGTTGATTTTGGTATAGAACGTAGTCTATCGACTGTCTCTGGTAGATTAAAAAACGTGATACTCTTCTAAAATAGTTCATTTCGTACCAATTTTGGGCGTATGTAAGCATCAAAAAGTAATTAGTCGCGTGTAATATTATTGTGGTCGTAACAATATATAAATGAATCGTCGTGTCAATTATAAGAAGTGTTTTTCAGGCTAATTTTCGAGCCAGCTATAGGTTTGAACTTTTAGTGCTAACATTAATCTATACATATAATAAAATTGTAACGAAGCCGAATCTGTACATTAAATATTTTTTGTAAAATCTTATTGAAGTAGATATTATTATCGATACAGAGGCCGAATCTATAGTTTTAAGAATTATTGTCTGTCTGTCTGTCTGTCTGTTACCGCATCACAGAAAAACCACTGGAGGGATTTTGATGAAATTTGGTACTGTGATAGCTGGTTATCCGGGTCAACATATAGGATATTTTTTACCGCGGGAAAATGTCTCATTTATGAGAAAAAATACAAAATCTGCAATGTAAGAGTATACTAATATGTAAAACCTAAGAATTTGGTTTTTGGTCATCTAAACGCGGGCGAAGCCGTGGGCAATGCGAGTACGATATAATTAAGTTAACGCAGTCGAAGTCATGAGCGACAGCTATATCAAAAGGTGACCCTATGACATTACTTCCGTTTGTTCGTCAATCATCATTTGAGTCGTCCTTGTATCTAACTGGATGATGCGAGCCCCTCGAACAATTATCGAGACATTCCTGCTAACCCCAGCATTAGTAATGGTATGACCCACGTATTTAGTACATGGACGATGTTTACTAACAGCAGGTAATCTCATCGAGATTAAATCACTTGTATAAGCTTTTGTACGTGAACATATATAAGCTTTATTTCCGGATTCTCATCATTTGAGGTCAGTCAGGACTCTTCTATGTAGTGTATTAAGGAAAGAATGACAAATTTTTAGTTGTCTGACTCTGAAATTTATATTTTGTTAGCGAAAAACCTTATAGGTCTTACTTGACAGGATCTCGAGATTCGTAGCACGTGCAAAGTCCTTAGACAAACGAGACAGTTGTTAGGCTAGTGTTCGTATAATAGTTAAACCGTTAGAGTTACATTTTGATTATATATACTAATATTATAAAGAAGCAGAGTTTGTTTGTTTGTTTTTTGAACGCGCTAATCTCAGGAATTACTAATTCGATTTGAAAAAAGTCTTTTTGCAATTGATAGCCCGTTTATTCAGGAAGGCCGAGTATATCATCATGCTGCTACGCAAGGGAGCGGAGCAGTAATCATAAATGTCAACAAATCGGGCAGACTTCCATACATTATTACTAATAGCATAAAGCCAGATTTTTTTTGTAGTCTTAACGCGAGCGATGTCGCGGATTCTGCTAGTTATTATAATATATTTACTGTTTTATAAAACAAATTACGATTAGATAATTTTATGGTAATATTGGTTTATAAGCATTAGATATGAAATGAAATTAAACTTTATTTAATTAGACATACCTATATAGGCACTATTTAATGATCGTAAATATAGTCAGTTCGTGAATAAGCTACCACCTGCTCGGAAAGCAGAGAAGAGACAGCGAGAAACTCACAATAGCTCCTTTAAATTTCATCTAAGTATAGTTTAGATCGAAGATAGTTGTTCTTTTCATGCAGCATCCATTATCCTTGTGGTCCAATTCCTACTGCTTTTGTAGTATTTTGGATTTAGTTAAATTGTATACAGGAACATATTTATCCTTAAACAAATGAACTTTAATCGCAATGGTATAATATAATAATATTATTAATATTTTATATATTAACTAGTATTGCCCGCGGCTCCGCCCGCGTTCAGATGACCAAAAACTAAATTCTTAGGTTTTATATATTAATATACTCTTACAATGCAGTTTTTGTATTTTTTGTCAGAAATGAGATGTTTCCCCGCTGTAAAAAGTATCCTATATGTTGACCCGGATAACCAGCTACCATCATACCAAATTTCATCAAAATCCCTGCAGTGGTTTTTCTGTGATGGGGTAACAGACAGAGAGACAGACAGACAAAAATTCTAAAAACTATAGATTCGGCCTCTGTGTCGATAAAAATGTCTATTTCAATAAGATTTTCCAAAAAATATTTCATGTACAGATTCGGCTTACTTACAATTTTATTATATGTATAGATATAAAATACATGAGCTATAATAGTAATGTAGTCATGAATGAAATTGAATAAGGAAATCCGATGAATGATGAAGTTAAAAGTCATGGTTGATTCATTTTCTGGTGAACGATTTAATACACCTATCCATATATACTAATTTTATTTAGATATAATTCTGAGAATTATCTATTATTATTTATATACGAATATATATGTATGTAAATAGAAGGTAATTTTAAAGATATCAAGAGCAAGAGATATGTTTGGATATGTAATAACATTATCTTCTTGAATGTAACTGATTAAAAAATAATACTTTCTTAGATTTACGCGAATATTTGACATTTTAAATAAAACTATCTTTTCGGATTATTTCGCGGATTTATTTGATTTTTGGTTCCCGACGTTTCGAATGCTTTAAAGCAATCATGGTCACGGGAGAGACTGAGGTGTTAGATGTCTCGAAGGTATAGTTGTTACAGACAGCCTACCTACAAAATGAAAAATTGCATCAAGTACCTTACAATATTTTATAACTTTAAACATCAAATAAAATTATAAAACTGTTCCAAAAAAGTTACCTAGGCTTTGGTCTATATATTAGTAATTACTTAAAATCTAGTTTACTTTAAACCTTAGTAAAAAAAAAAACTACGGACTGTGATAATGACTCACAAATAAGGTTGACAATGTCTGGTAACGGTATCCCGCGCAACAGCTGGCCGTTGACTCAAACGTGGTGACTTGACCTACAATGAGAATGCGATCGACATAAACGACTTTTATGGTTATGGAATATGGAGATATTAGCACGCGGTTATATGGCTTTTATCAACTCATATTACGTTCTTGAGTTTCATATGGGGATCATAAATAAAGTAATGCATATGATACGATACGATTTCGTCTTTTGACTCCTTTTTTTCATTGATGAGTTAGGGGGATATATTACAACATAAATAGTCAGAACACGAATGTGTTAAATGAGCCTTAAGATAGTACTAGCGATTTACCCTTGCTTCGCTCGTTCCTAGGTTCTTTTAATTTTTTTGAACAGAATTCTATTTTTTTTCTAAAATATAAGTAGTCTAAGTTACTCCTTATAACAACGGCTATCTACCAGTGAAAGTCCCGTTAAAATCAGTCCAGACGTTTCGGAGATTAGCCGAAACAAACAGACAGACATAAACTTTTTAAATTTGTTTTATAAGTATATTATTACATATGCATTTAGTAAAAAGTTGTTATTTTGATATTACAAACAGACATTTCAATTCTATTTATCTGTATAGATTAAGTATGTTATGCCATGATTTGAGGATCCAATAGCGCAAACGAAAATTCATTACTGTGATTAACTGTTAATTATTTAACAGTATTTTTATACTGTTAAATAAATTAAAAAGTTATTGATTTTAGATCTTATTTTATTAGGGAAATGATTATCAATTTTTTAATCGTTGATTATAGGGAAAATTTTGCCGTTTGAATGATTCTTTGTTCTGAGAAGAATGACTTTACATTTTCTCGAATTTATAACTGCTTTTAATATAAGTTTTTTTTAAAGCAATCGAGATGCAAATTATTTACAAATTAAATCTTAGAGCATCAATATATTATATACCTTAGGTACATAAATAGAAGGTTTATTATTATTATTGCAGCTCCTTTTTAAAACTACTAAAACTGTTTTCTTTCTTTTTAAGCTATGCTAAGCCAGAAATAGCAGTAAATGTCCTTTATTATGACATATAACTACGTATTATAAAATAAAGTTCCCCCACCCCGTCTGTATGTCTGTCTGTCTGTACGCGATAAACTCACTAACTAACGAACGGATTTACAAGCGGTTTTCACCAATGGGCAGAGTGAGTCATGAGGAAGGTTTATGTGTATAATTCATTAAGGTTTTATGTAAATTGGCTGATATATGACAATGACTGTTGAAGATGTCGGAAAAAATCATGCTGACTGGGATCTTTATTATCGTGCTCCGTGTAAACCAATAGAGTTATATGAAAATAAAGTGTTACGGATTTTTACATTTAAAAATATCTATTAAACAGTGATGATGTTCTCCTAGCCGATTCCGGCCACGGCGGCCAATCTCATTGAGACTAGCCAACTGCGCAGGAGATATTATAGTGCACAAGTGTACGCGCAGACACAAGTGCACTCTCTATTCCTGTCTCTCTCATACTCCGGTGGGACGACTGCTCGACAAGACCAGTGAGAGTTAAGCCGCAGGCTTTAAGTGCTCTCCGAGGCATGGGGGTGAAACAACGCCAACTTCCCAACTCCGGGGTGTTACTGAGACTTACTATACAGAAAGACTCAATAACTAAACTTGGCCCGACCCGGGACTCGAACCCAGGACCTCCGAGTGTGCAGCCGTACATGCTAGCCATTACACCACTGAGGCAGTTACAGTTAAATCACTAGTAACGTTATAAGAATTGTGTAGCAAACTTATTATTTTTCAGGCCATCATGTGTTACACACCAAAGTATTTGTGGGACGCTTTTGAAGGTGGTCTCCTTCGCACTATTGTCATGGGGCTCAATATAGGTGTATGTCACGTGGAAGAGAAAGAGAAGAAGAAGGACGCAATCATCAGCTATCTCATCAGACACGAGAGGGTGAGTTGTTAATTCATATTTTTGTTCTATTTCTTACCACCAGAATAAAAGAATGTGATCAATATATTGATATTACACTATAGTGATCGTAGCCTGATGTGCTATTATTAGATTGTATACGAATTGATTAATTATAAAGTATTAATGGCGATTATTACATTAATATAATTATTTTCTTTCTGGCATTGACAATTTCGTGTGGCATTATACTGTCTATCCGCTCTAAACTGTCAGTCCGTCTATCACAGTCTATATTACAGGCAAGTAAAACGTTGTATGAATACTGAAATTAATAGATGCATAGACAATGAGAAGAAAAATATTTTACAGGTAGATCCTTTTGTCAGAAATTTTCGAATAAAATTTCGAAATAAGTTTACAAGGTATAATATAACAAAAAATAAACAGACAGTGAGGTGCAAGCTCGAATTGAAAGACAATTGATGTTACTATTTCCCACAGTCTCATGAATTTAAAACTAAACACATTATAACGAGAACAGCCATATTTAGCGTATGCTTTAATATTTATGAAATTAAAAAACATAAACGAGACGGCAAAGGAAGGCGAAGTTAAACAATTGGCGACATAGAGGGAATTTAAATCAGTGCTGGGAACTATAAGCGTGTTTTGCGTTCGTAATGCAGTGGGTTCAATGCTTGGAAATTGTTGTAGGGAGAACTGCGATTCGTAGAAGGAATGCAGGATATTATTTGAACTACTGTTTGCTCAGTGATAGAAATTCGACCATAATCGTTATTTAAAATTGGAGGAAAAGTTATATGAATATGTTATAAATAATAAATATAAATATGTTGGGACATTAACACACATCACTATCTAGTTCCATGGTAAGCTACGAGGATTGTGTTATGGATACCAGATAGTTGATACACTACACATATATATTATTGTTTTTTTTGGTAATTGCATAAATTTAGTGATCGATTTCGCTTTTTATTTTATTTTAAACTTTGCTAGTGGAGCGTGGCGAAAAGAGATCGTGACAGTCTCAAAATTGTTCTGACCATATTTTTTGTGTCCGGCGGTCATTGCCCACGTTCAATGATCGGTTGCGCAATCCACGACACCATGATTGCTTTTTAAACTTTTATAAGAGGCTGCTTGTATTTTATAAGGTTTTGCCATGCGGGCTTTTAAAAGTTATTCATACGAATTTATTCACGCTATAGGTATAAAATTTCTATCGTCAACATAACATAAGTTAATTTTGTTACTCATGAAGCCAATTTTTTATTCGCATCAATATTAAGTTTTGTGTTTTATTTAAATCTTATAGTTTTTAAATTCATTTAGTTTGTAAAATGGCGTATGTATTTGGTTTGATATCTTATTTTTATCTTTTAGTAACAAAAGTAGATACCCAGTACCTACGATTATGCAACACAAGTGATGATGATATATTTATGAGTAGAATGACTGCGTATATTCAAAGTTGTTTCTAAATTAATTTAATTAAAGTCAAAGTAAATTAGTTTATTTTATTGTTAAAATACTATCGAAACGGAAGTAGTTCAGTTACAGTTTTTATCCTTTATTGGAACTATTCTCTCTTGGCTTTTCCGCGTTTATCGATTTTGTGACAGCTGCCCTGAGTCATTTAATGAGTTTCGTTTCCCCGAATCTCCCCAATCGAGGCTTCCGTAGTCGATTGATTCGATGTTAGAATAACAGGTGGTATCAGGAAGGTGATATGTCTACTTAACATATTAGATTCGTTACATGGAATTAGAAAACTCAATGTTTTCAAGCGTAATTTGTTGAAGGGTAATTAAAATATTATCGAACTTTATTTTAAACAGTGAAGTTTATTAGAGTGAAAGTTCTTCATCTGTACTTTATCTATTATAATATTATAAAGAGGCAGAGTTTGTTTGTTTGAACGCGCACATCTCAGTACTATTAATTCCATTTGAAAAATTCTTCTTGCATTAGATAGCCCGTTTATTGAAGAATAAACTATATATCATATAATATATTATAATCGTTAATAATCGTTGATTTCATAAATTAAAGAAAATATTATAATAAAAATATTATTAAATCAGATTTAGTTCGTATTCTGGTTAAAAATTATAATAAGAGAATAACATCTGTGAAAGCTAAGTTAGCGGTAGTTAGCAATAAGTATCTAAAGTATTAACTCGCTCACTAAACTCTATACAAAAAAATCACACCGATCTGTTTTCGCTTAAAAGGATTGTCCACAAACTACCTACATATTTCTCGAATTTTTAAGGAAGGACACGCTCAGATCATTGCGTGCGTACTTACTCGAGCATCTCATTCAAGTGCCCACGTGTTTTTCAAATCATTGTCCTCACATATGTATATGTTTATTTTTTTGAGCTACTGTGCCTGGTTCTATACACATGGTTTTGTTTTATTTCTCACGTTCGTTTGCACTTGAGAGCTTAGGTTTCGAATGAAGATTGTCTGTTTAGAATTTTTGTCTGTCTGTTACGGTATCACAGAAAAACCACTGAAGGGATTTTGATGAAATTTGGTATGGTTATAGCAGGTTACCCGGGTCAACATATATTATACTTTTTACCGCCGAAAATATCTCATTTCTGAGAAAAAATACAAAAACTGCAATGTAAGAGTATACTAATATGTAAAACCTAGAATTTTGGTTTTTGGTCATCTGAACGCGAGCGGAGCCGCGGGCAATGTTAGTATATTATAAATTGCTATGCACGAGATAAAAAAATATGTACAATTTTATTCGGAACATGTCGAGTTATATATATGTCGCTACTAGCTATATGCTGAGTGTACCTACCTACCGGCATCACCACTACTTTTTGCCTTTGTAACGGTATGTCGTGGTCGAGTCAATGCACGCTGTGGAATTGATTTAATGATGGCTTCAATCATAACTTGACCCTTTACAGGATATAAAATGTGTATATGTCGCAATCAAATGCAATATTTATTGATTAATTAGTGAAGAGAATCTGCTTCTATAATCTTCACTTGTGACATGTTGTGTAATTTTATATTGGAAGTCGATGTTAATGTACTACTTATTGTATCAAAAGTATGTGAAATCACGATCACTATATATTTGGTAGCCCAGTGGTAACTCACTCGCTTGGGAATTGGGAGTGAAGCGGGTTCAAATCCTCGCACCTTGATATTTTCATGTGTGACATAATTACGACTTAAGGTAAAGGAAGACATCGTAGGGAAACCTGGATATCTGAGTGAATCTAACAAGTTTTCGAAAGACACGTGAAGTCCGCCAACCTGCACTTGGCCAGCGTGGTGGAGTATGGTCTGATCCCCTCCCTCGTATTGAAAACAGGCCCGTACCTAGCAGTGGGATGTAAAAATAAGTGCTGAATACACACATATATGTATTTGGTATTATCGAGCTGATCTAATAAAGTAGTCACGGGGTGGATAGTAAAACTAACGTGGGAACTCTTCAATAACCGCTATTAAAATCTTCGATTTTAGACTCAATTCATACAATTTGATGAGTTACATTTGTACAATAGGTATAGTATTACTTGATTGTAAGTTGCCCATATATTTTAAAATTAACTAGATTACATAATTTGTTTTTGAGGGTTCCTCAAAAGGTAACAAAAGGAATTCTTATATAAGATCACTCTCTTGTCCGTCTATCCGTGTGGGTCGAAAACCTATATGGTAGTTCCCGTTGACCTAGAATCACGAAATTTGGCAAAAAGTAAGGTCTTTCAGCACAAATAAAGGAAAAAATTTAAAAAATAAAAAAAGTTGAAAATTAAAGTTAAACAGATTTCCTACAAATTTGTACGGAGCCCTCGGTGGGCGAGTCCGACTCGCACTTTCCGTTTCTTAAGCTAATGTTCTTTTCATAAATATCTCGCTACGCCTCTTAACAATGGAGCAAAACATAAATAAACTACGCGACTTTGGTCGCGGGCAAATGTTAGTGAAGTAGAAGTTGTTGGTAAAGAAATTATGAAATCTAGGATTATACATGATTAATATGATGTTGTTCTAATTACTTATATGTATTATATGTACTGTATTTAGAATATACTACATACATATAACGAATGTATGTTAATATCATTAAAAGTGTTTATTATTTCTTTGAACGAGATATAAAAAAAGGCCGCTGCTGATAAGACATATGGTGATTTTTTGCATCTCGGGTCACATTTACACGTGGCTTCATTTGAAGCTATGAGCAAAATGGTTTTAAACTGGCATCAGCATCGTCAATTAAAGTTTTTAGATTTACTTCGTCTTACGTATTATTATACGCTATTAACTATACATACATATAATAAAATTCTAACTAAGGCGAATCTGTACATTAAATATTTTTTGAAAAATCTTATTGAAATAAACATTATTATAGATACAGAGGCCGAATCTATAGTTTTTAGAGTTTTTGTCTGTCTGTCTGTTACCGCTTCACGGAAAAACTACTGGAGGAATTTTGATGTTTGATATGGTGATAGCTGGTTATCCGGGTCAACATACAGGATACTTTTTACCGCGGAAAAATCTCATTTCTGAGAAATCTATACAAAAACTGTAATGTAAGAGTTATACTAATATGTAAAACCTAAGTATTTGGTTTTTGGTCATCTGGCGGAGTCGCGGGAAATGCTAGTTCATCTATAATCTTCTATATATAAATAAGTACAGACAAAACAGTTCAGTACCTTTTTCTACTCTGGTTTATTTCATATGTTTTCCTGAAATTTTTTAATAATGATTATGGACGGATTTCGACCGCAAGACGAACAATAGTAATACAAAATATTTGAACGACATCAAAAATCAATTCAATTCGCTATTTTTGTGTAATATTTTTGTGAATATACCTATTGTGAATAATTTTTATCTTAATTCTATAGTTGCTTTTCCATTTTAGTATTTTTTTCTATTACTAAGTAGGCTATTATTTATATTAAATTCAACTCTTTTTTTAACGTCCCGGTTCTGGTCAATAGGTTTTTTAAATTTTA